GAATCAAGTTTCCTAGAGTTCTATTAACCACCTCTGTTTGCCCATCAGTCTGCGGGTGAGTTGTGCTACTGAAATTCAAAGATGAATCAAACAACTTCCACAAAGTCCGCCAAAAATGCCCTAGAAATTTGCTATCCCTATCTGAGGTAATAGACTTGGGCACACCATGCAAACGAACCACTTCCTTAAAGAATAATCTGGCCACACTTACTGCATCAGAAGTCTTCCTACAAGGAATGAAGTGCGCCATCTTGGAAAATCTGTCAACCACAACGAAAACAGAATCCACGCCTCTTTGTGTCCGTGGTAAACCAAGCACAAAATCCATGGACAGATCTTCCCATATATTGTTAAGAATAGGTAAAGGCATATACAGACCTGTATTCTTAGATTGACCCTTAGCAGTCTAGCAAACATAACACTTTTGTACGTACCTACTGACATCTCTACGCAATTGGGGCTAGTAAAATCGCTCCCGGACTGCAGCAATAGTTTTATCACGACCCAGATGTGCAGTTAATCCACCATTATGTAAATCGCGAATTACCTTCTCTCGTAATGATGTCCGAGGAAGGCAAAGCTGATTGCCACGCATCAGATAACCATCCTGCACATAAAATTCTTGTACAGGTTTACCAGCAGCACATGACTCCCAAATTTGTCCAAAGTCATCATCATCTGCATAATAGTCTTTCAGCTACTTGAACCCTAGAATTACCTGGCTCAATGTAATCAACAAGCCAGCTCTCCCACTCAATGCATATGCTACAACATTATGCACACCTGACTTATGCTGTAATCTAAAAGGAAATTTTTGCAAAAATTGACACCATCGTGCATGCATATCTTTGCTAATCCTCTTCTGACTATTCAGATACTTCAAAGCTTCATGATCAGAATAAATGACAAATTCTTTCCCAATTAAATAATGCTCACAGGTCTTCAAAGCCCTTACAACAGAATAGAATTCTTTATCATAAGTGCTCCACTTCTGCCTTGCGTCGCTAAGCTTCTCACTAAAATAGCAAATTGGTTTGCGCTCTTGAGATAAAACAGCTCTTATACCCACTCCACTAGCATCACAGTCCACTTTAAACAGTTTATAAAAATCAGGTAAAGCAAGAACAGGTGCAGTACATAACTTCTCCTTCAAAATAGCAAAACTATTCTCAGCTTCCTCTCCCCATAGAAATTTGCCTTTCTTCATATATTCAGTAATTGGGGCTGCGATAGTACTAAAATTCTTAATAAATCGCCGATAAAAAGTAGCAAATCCATGAAAACTCCTAACGTCAGAAACTGTTTTAGGAGTCGGCCACTCTCTGATTGCTCTTACCTTCGCCTCATTTACCTCTATTCCTTCAGCAGTAATAATAAACCCCAAGAATAACAGTTTATTAGTTAAAAAACTGCACTTCTTAAGATTAATATACAGCTTATTAATCTGTAAGGCTGCCAACACCTCCCTTAAATGCATCAGATGATCCTCCTTAGTCATACTATAAATCAGGATATCATCAAAATAAACTACAACAAATTTGCCAATAAAAGATTTCAGAACCTGATTCATAAGCCTCATGAAAGTGCTTGGAGCATTGGAAAGTTCGAAAGGCATCACCAACCATTCGTACAACCCCTCATTTATTTTGAAAGCTGTCTTCCACTCATCTCCAAGCCAAATCTCAATCTGATGGTATCCATTCTTCAAATCCAGCTTCGAGAACCACTTAGCACAGTGCAACCTATCCAGCATGTCATCCAATCTCGGAATTGGAAACTTGTAACCCACGGTTATTTTATTAATGGCCATGCTATCTACACACATCCGCCAACTCCCATCTTTCTTAGGAGTCAACAAGGCCGGAACAGCACATGGGCTCATACTATTCTGAATGTGTCCATTTCGTAACAACTCCTCCACCTTCTCTTTTAGAATCTCGCTCTCTTTTGGACTCATCCTGTAGTGCGGTAAATTTAGTAGACTAGCACCAGGAATTAAGTCTATATGGTGCCGAATATCACGCATAGGCGGCAACCCATCTGAAATCTCTTCAGGCATCAGTTCGCTAAATTCCTTCAATAAAGGCCTGACTGCTTCAGGCTACTCCTCCACTTGTAATTCAGCCTCAGTCTCAATTATTTGTTTCACGACCAGCACGTGAATCTGTCGAGTCTCCTTAACCTCAGCTTCAAATTTCCTCGTAAGGGTAAGGAAATTATTTTCAGCAGCTTTGTTTTCCTTTGTTCTTCAGTGGCAGTAACGTATACTTCACTCCATCCTTCACAAGGTTATACTGATTGCTTCTTCCCGAATGCTGAGCATCTACATCAAATTGCCACGGCCTCCCAAATAATACATGACATACATCCATGTCTACTACATCACAATATAGCTCATCATGATACTTACCAATGGAGAATGGAATTTTACATCGCTCAGTTACCTGAATGCTTTTCGCTCCAGATTTAATCCATCCTAACGTATAGGGATTAGGATGCTTCTCCACGGGTATCCCCAGCTTCTTCACTGCCTCCTTCCCAATGATATTCTCCATACTTCCACTATTAATAACCACAGCAAAGATCTTTCCCAGAATGGTGCACCTGGTTCGGAATAACTGATGGCGCTGCGAATCATCTTCCTATTTTGGGGCCAACATCATCCTACGCACCACACAGTTTACTTGCTCCTCTTCTTCATCTTCAAAATCATCGTCCTCACCATCCGGCGCACAGCAATATCCATCTTCCTCCTCTTCTCTCGCTGCTACGTTTACGGTCTTTCTCTGAGGGCATTCATTAGAACGGTGCCCAGGCTGATTACACCTGTAACACTTTATAGCGGATGGTTTAGTATAAGGGTTAGGGTTCGCAGTTTTCTATGCTTGCGTTCCCTTATCCCTCGGCTCGTTCATAGGGCGCTTTTCTACCACCTTATCTTCCTGATTTCGTCCTGCGTTAAAGCGATTATTGAAACTGCTCTTTTCTACCGAACTGCTCGAACTGCTACCCCGATAATTTTCGTAGCCTCTTCTTCCCCTATCTTGCTGCATCAATTCTGCCTTCATCGCCATATTCTTAGCTTCAGTTAAATTTCGCAGAAACTGCACTCCAATTTTATCTCGAATGAAGGGTTTCAAACCATCAAGATATCTAACCACCTGCTGTCCCTCCATCTCTGATAAATTATTCCGCTCCGCCAATCTCATAAATCCGGCCGTATACTCATGCACAATCCGATTGCCCTGCTGGCAATGTTGGTACTGCTGGAACATAATCTGCTCATAGTCGGGTGAAAGGAATTTTTGCTTCAGCAGCCTCCTCATCCTAGTCCAAGTTCGAACTCTCTCTTTCCCCTCTCGTTCTCTCCTATTCTGTAATCTCTCCCACCATGCAGACGCACCCCCCTTTAATCTACAGGCTACTAATCACACCATTTTCTCACCAGCGGTCTCCATATAATCGAAAAATCTATCTATATCAGCAAGCCAATCCAAAAATTCTTCTATACCCAGACTACCATTAAAATAAGGGATATCGACTTTCAATTTAAAATCGTTACCTTCACGATCGTCATAGCGTCGTCGTCCATCTCTCCTATCATGCCTTCTCTGAAGTCCTCCCTGACGATTTCTGCCACCATAATCAGCACGTTCCTCATCAAAATTTTCAGTTTCTTCTTCTTCCAAACTCTTTGAAAACAGAGGGTTATTCTGCCTGCGGACAGGAACAGGCCTATCAACAGGATCACCGCGAGCAAGATCTGCACTGGGCCTTCTGTCGTTCCGCCGATTCCGGTTCACATCAATGCCGAGACCTTCGAATCGTTCTGTTAACTCATCAAATCGTTCTTCGAAACGACGAAAACTTTGATCGAATCGTTGATCCAAGCGTTCCATTAAACGCTGCTCCAAACGTTGCAGCGCGTCGTCCCCAAGGTTGGGGCTCCAGTCTCTTGAGCATCGTCACGATGACCACCGCCAGTCGCCATAGGCTCTGATACCACCTGACGCAGCGTTCAGCGAATAATTCAAGCAAAGCCTTGCTTAGAGAAAAAAATCACGAAATTCAATATTGATGATAATAATGTTCTCCCTTCAAACAAACCCTAAACACCCTTTTATAGAGGTTAAACCTAATTACAATAGGAAACCTAATCATAATAGGAAAGTTACCTAATCTGAATTGGAAACCTAATCATAATAGGAAATCTAATCATAATAGGAAAGTTAATAAGCATCAAATAGCAAAATTACAAAAAACGACCCTTAAAATTAACTCATAAAAAAATACGAAAATAATAGAAAAAAAAACCATCTAATCGCATCACCGTCTCGCTTTCCGTTTGGACTTCTGTTTGTCCAATCGGTCCAGAAACGCACTACTAATAAATTCCGCATCAACAATCATGTGATAGACTGAAATCTTTTCGGTTTTTCGAGAAAGTTATGAAAGAAAAACATAAAAAGTCAACATGGAAACTGATTTCATAAAAGTTAGTTTCCCTTCATGTCTAATGTAATCTTAAGGACCAACGTCTGCCACTCTTCGGATGAATATTCATTTCATTATGCATGCGGACGGGAGGTTTGTATGCGTTCCAGGGGATTAAACACAATTATTTTAGTCATATACCGCTGAAAGTTTCCTAAAATTTATAAACATAAAATGAAAAGAAACTCCCAACCTCGAAGACTCCATCACTTCCTCGTGTTTCATCGCCCATTTCGCAATCACCAGCCTCTTCCATCCTTCATGTCACTCTGGTTCTAGAAAACATGACAAATCTCGATTATTTTAATCATTTGATTGACACAATCAATGCGCATAGGGAGAAAAGATGTTCTTTTTACGATATCGAAATATCTTCACCATTTCTTAATTAATATGTAGTGTATAATATTTCTTGTGATTCTATATGAAGGGCCCACTAAAAAACAATGAACAATAAATTTCGCCCATTTTTATGCTAGAAACCCCCATCTACCTGTCATATCTTTATCTATATATGCAATGAAATCATCTCCATCTTCACCACCACTTCCTTCCAAATAGCCACCTCAATGGCCTGGATATGGATAACACTTGCCTTTGCATTGATTGCTCATTTCGTATTGCGAGCTTTGCTATGGAAAACACGGAGCAAGAAGAGATTACCTCCTGGTCCAAGAGGGTTTCCGATTCTTGGAAACCTCCCTTGGTTAGGACAAAACCCTCACCATGATCTTCACAAGTTAGCTCAAAATTATGGACCCCTCATGTACTTGCGCCTCGGGTTCGTGCCCACAATCGTCATCTCATCACCCGAAGTGGCCGAGCAATTCCTCAAGACCCATGATCTTGTCTTCGCGAGCAGGCCGCCTAATGAGGCCTCAAAGCACATCTCTTATGAGCAAAGGAGCTTGGCATTTGCACCGTACGGTCCGTATTGGAGGAACATCAGAAAGATGTGCACTTTGGAGCTCCTTAGCAATGCAAAAGTTAATTCGTTCAAGTCCATGAGAAGAGAGGAGGTCGGCTTGTTTGTGAGTTTTCTCAAAGATGCGTCTCACAACCACACGGCCATCGACTTGAGCGCGAAGATCTCGTCACTAAGTGCCGATATGAGTTGTCGGATGGTCTTCGGGAAGAAGTATATGGACAAGGAGTTTGACGAGAGAGGGTTCAAGGCCGTGATTCAAGAAGGGATGGTGTTGGCCGCGATACCAAACATCGGTGACTATGTTCCTTATTTAGCATCATTTGATCTTCAGGGGTTGACGAAGCGCATGAAAGCCGTGAGCAAAGTGTTTGATGCCTTCTTTGAGAAGATTATTGACGAGCACTTGAAGTCTAAGAAAGAGGAAGGAGAGAGCAAAGATTTTGTTGATGTCATGTTGGGTTTCATGGGATCGAACGAGGGAGAGTACCATATCGACCGGCCCCATATCAAAGCCGTAATTCTGGTAATTAATCAATTTTTTTATAGCTAGATTAAAAATAATCTCTGTAACCTTAACTACTGTTCAATTATCTAAGCATACATCGGAGTGGAAAATTTATTAGAACAAGGATCTCGCCAGTTAGGGTTCCGAGATTAGTAGTTAGGGATCAAAATTGATTCAAAAGACAATTTGATAGATTATAAGTAGAAATTTTAGTATATGGACCATCGTATTCAAACATCAAAAAAGATCTGTCATTTCGCTTTATAAATCAATTTTTAGGCGAATTTTAATATTTCAACTTGTATATCCTTTTAAATTCTTTATTAAGCATGTGAATTGGTTTCCTCCTCTCATTTGCAAGTTTTAATGGCATTTTTTTAGCAATGGTTACGACAGATAGTCTTGTTAGCTTCTTCATATATTGCTGTGAACGGACGGTGTTCAAGAATCTTGTAAGTCGCTGTCTTGTCTACCTACCGATCAACCAAGTGCGTCATATACGAGAAGTAGAAGTTAAGGATCACGACGGAGAGAAATTATTGACTCTTCCTAAAAAAAACATGTACTCGTCTCTTTCAAGCACCAGAGTCGGAGCGGTTAATAATGTTTTGTCAACTATGAAACAGTGAGTACTAGAGAGAACAAAGTCTGTTCAATATTAAGTGATTCATGGTCTATATTTCCATATGGGTTTCAATAAGTTGATTCATGTATGAAAGGAATAGCTAGTTGAGACAATAATTTCCATTATCCAACATCAAATATGAAAAATAAAAAAGTTGTTTATCTTTTTAATTATCTTAAGCATTATTCTTACTGGAAATCATACTTAGGACCTCATAAGTAGTTTCTTGATAGTTTCAATTGACACATTGATTTTGTTACAAAGGTGCTCTAAATATGCTTGTTAAGTAGCTAATTTTAGAAAGTTTATGTTTTCAATGCACTAATTTTTCTTGTAACATCCATGACTTAGTCTATTATAAATGTGCTTGATAAGTGCAATCATGATACTCGTGAATATGAATCTCTATGTGTTTCTCCAAGCAGGACATGTTGTCGGGTTCGATGGACACTTCAGCGACAGCAATAGAGTGGGCAATCGCCGAACTTATAAAACATCCTAATGCAATGAGAAAGCTCCAAGATGAACTAGAGAGAGCAGTGGGACTGAATAGAGCAGTGGAGGAATCAGATGTAGAGGGCTTGGACTACTTAGACATGGTCATCAAGGAGACCATGAGACTTCACCCGGTGGCTCCACTTTTGCTTCCCCATGAGGCAACCGAGGACTGCACAGTGAACGGCTTCCACATACCACGCAAGTCAAGGGTCATCGTGAATGTGTGGTCCATCGGAAGGGACCCGAAAGTGTGGACCACTCACGACCCGAAAGAGTTCGTGCCTAAAAGGTTCTTAGGGTCGAGCGTGGACGTTAAGGGTCGTGATTTTCAGCTCTTGCCGTTTGGGGCGGGCCGTCGAGGGTGCCCCGGGATGCAGCTTGGCTTGACCGTGGTGCGGTTTGTGCTTGCTCAGCTCGTACACTGCTTTGACTGGGACCTTCCTGGCGGCATGTTACCAAGCGAGCTTGACATGACCGAGGAGTTCGGGCTCACTACTCCTAGAGCCAAGCATCTGGTGGTTACACCTAGGTACCGTTTGCACGAGTAAAAGAGAGTTAACTTATCAATGAATGATTGAGTTCCCAAAAATAAGTATGATGTTATCAGGAAGTCTCGTGGTGTTAGTTTTAATACCTAATGGATTGCCTATTGATTTGTAATGTAGTATTGGCTTGATTTTCCAAGTCTCATTTTCCTCTGAATGAAATTCAAATAAAGGATTTTGAGACGTGGAGACTTGAGGCTTTTTAATTTCTTCACTATAGTTTAGAGCATTGTGTTGTGTTTGATGTCTCTGAGGTTCCGCCAACTCTGAGAAAGAACCAATTTGATACGAAGGTCGAATTGAAGCAAAAAGGTCAAGATGTTCGGGGGCCTGGCCACCAGGTTGGATTTCCGGTACGAGACATCCAGGGGGAAGGCTGAATAGGGTTCGACGCCCTAGCCACCAAGTAGGGCTTCCGGCCACAATATGAGAAAGCCTCTTCACTACTACAGGGTGCCGAGCACCTGACCTGTGTTGAGAAAACCTCCTAAGTTATTTTGACAAAACATTTCATAAGTTTTTATTGAATCTGACTTAAACAATTTGAGGTGATATTCATTGAAATACAATGTTTAGATTTTGAGTATCTTATTCATGGTTCAAAGTATTCGCGGACATCATCAATATATGTCAAGAATATTCTTAAAGCAATATGAAGAATCAGTCAAAGGCAGCGCTTGATATTATTGAGGCTTTTTATGATATTCAGACTTTACATATCCGGACTTAAGAAAGAACTCAGAATCAGACTTCGAGATTCCAGACTTTGTCAAACTCAACGATATATAGACAATACAACAGCTAGTGATCTAGCTTGGATTTCTTTATTGGAAATTACTGATCTTTGATTTTTTGAGATTGTTTTGCAACGATCAAAATCAAAGCAAAACATTAGAAATGGGTTGTATTCAATCACAACATGATACTCTTTCTATACGAAGAACTCCGCTTATGGAAACTCCGATTTGATTGTGTTGGCAACTGAATCATCTGAGAGACTTTGATTGCATTATCCAACAACTACCGAATCTTCATTAAGCATTCTTATCCAATAGAATCATTGGAGAATGAACCTCTGAAGACTGTCCAATGGCTAGATTGGAAGTGGAGGAGCATAAAAGGAGATCCTAGTGCTAAAGAAAGATGCGATATTTTGAATCTAAAATCCTAAAGTATTGAGAGCTTCAATCATACACACTTGTCTTTCTTAAGCTGGAACTTTGTAATCGCTAAAGAAGTTTTAAAGAGGAGTCACTCTGATTCTGTAAAAGGGAGTGACTCTGAGATACTAATTAAGAGTTGACATCCTCATCTGTAACCTCTGATTGATTCATTAGTGAAATCCAGCCAACAAGCTGTCTACGTCGAGAGTGAGCATAGGCTTACTATAAACCAAACCACTATATATTTGTGTGTAAATTCTCTTATCTCTAAACTCTTATCGTTTATCTTTGCATATCGATATTCTGCATCTGATTGTTGTTCAGACTGTTATCTCACTTGAAATTGACAGTACCTATTTTGATTGTTTCAATTCCGCTTTAATTAATTTAAAATTGGTCATAATCACCTATTCACCCCCTTTAGGTGATCCTTATTAACCACCTCAACCTGCATGGCTGGACCTTAGACATGGCTAGGCGAGCAGATGAATGGCATTGCGATCTTTCCATGTTTCGCATCTTAAACTTGTTATTAACTTGTTTTCCACTATTACACAAAATATGTACACCATTAGTAAGAAATATTTTTTGTTTTTCAAGAAAGTAATAGGAGAAGAATATCATAAAGCTTCTAAGCCTAAGAGTCCAATGATTTGCTACTAACTTTATATCTACTATTAACTCTAGTTGATTGACATTATTATTTTGGGTTAATACCACAAAAAACCCCAAACCGGTACACATGTGACAATTTTACTCCAAACTAATTTTTTGACCGCAAAAAACCCCAAATTGGTACACCTATGATAAATTTACCCTCAGTTTGTTTCCGTTAAATTTTACTTTCAAATTACTTTGTTAAATGACACACGACAGTTGTTTGATTTGCCAATTTTATGTTTTACCCTCTATTTGTCACAGGTGTACCAATTTGTGATTTTTTATGGTATAAATCTAATTTAACGGAAATTAACGGAGGGTAAATTTGTCACAAACACCAGTTTGGGGTTTTTAGTGGTCAAAATATTAGTTTGGGGCAAATTTGTCATAAGTGTACCAGTTTGAGGTTTTTTGTAGTCAGAAAAATAGTTTGGGGTAAAATTGTCATAAGTATACCAGTTTAAGGTTTTTCATGGTATTAACCCTATTATTTTTAACCCAAGCTAAGAAATGTGACTTCAAACTACTCTTCAATATAGAATAAATGTAGAAGACAAGAGATTAAATACCTTTTCCCTTCCTTTGGGCGTGTAACTCCATCTTCTTCACAGCTTGAAGTTCAAAAGTTTTTCTATTCCACTCTCTTTCAACACAATCAAAGTCCAAACTCACTTTCAATCTAGTGTCTTACAAGGTATATTCATAGACTTTCCTTTATTTTTATCAAATTAGCTCTGTTGTTTTCTGAAGAATGATACTTGTTAAATCTGATATTTATTTTGATTTCAAGGTGATTAAAGGTTTGCTTTGTTAAAGATTTCACTCGAGGTAAGTGAAAACTCTATGGACTAAGCTAGAATGATCTACTTATTACTCTTGAACTTGGTTGATTGATTATTTGCTTAGTTTATGTTTTACTCTATGTGTGATTTGTCAAGAAAACTTCCTAATATATTTTGAAGATCGACAAAACCTTCCATAGTATTTATTGAGTTTGACGAAAGTATTTTCAGGTGACGAAGAAACGATATTCAGGCTCTAGTTATTGTTATCTGAAAATTATGTCTGAAGTTTCTCATTTTCTTTGTGGAGATAAAAAACTGTTATGGATATCATTAGAGCAACATGAAGACATCACCAAAACTTGGACATGAATATTGCCAAGACATTTGGCATCTTTAGACTCTATGCGAAGTTCATTCATACTCAGGAAGTATTCAGACTCAAACAATATCGTCTGATCTAGAAGTATAATCAAACTTAGAATACAAATTATATATTGCAATGGCTAGTGATCTTGCTCGGATTTTTACCATAGAATATGATGATTGATCTTCAATCTAAAAGATTGTTTTGCAACAAACTTACTCAAAACAAAACATCTTTGATTGATCGACAATCTTCCTTTAGATGGGATATTCTTTCCAAATGAAGAACGCTACTTACGGAAACCCATCTTTGGTTGTATTGGCGACTGAATCAATGGGAGATTATGATTTTGTCACTTAACGGCTACTCAATCTTCTTGTAGCATTCGTATCCAACAAATTGATTGGAGAATGATCCTCTGAAGACTGTACAATGGTTAGATTGGAAGTGGAGGAGTATATAAGAAGATTCAAATACTGAAGATAATGAATGAGATCGTGAATCTGAAATTCCAAAGTCCAAGAGAGCTTCTACCTTACACACTTGTCTTAGTGAGCTTCAAAAGTGTAATCTTTAATAGGTGTAGAAAAAGTGACTCTGAGATAGTGAGACGAGTAATTCTATTAAAGTTCACAAAAGACAATTTTAAAGTATGTAAAGCTCTTTCGAAATTTGGAATTATAAACTCTTGATCAATCTTCTATGAATTAAGAAACTTTATAACTAGGACTAAATAAATTTAATTGATATAAGATGCATTGAAACTTGATAAGACTCTCCAAATTTGTGCACCAGCCTAGAAAGTCAGATAGCCACCTTAGAAAATGAACAAACAACAAAGGAATTTGATCATAACAACCTCTAGTTTCTAGATAGTCAATTGGAAGCCAAGTCTTGTAAATCGACAACTATACCGTGTAATTGGTAACTTCATCCTTGAACCCACATAATTAAATTGCAGTCAAAATTGGCTTTTTCTTGCACGAATGGCAATTGAGTTGGTTCAATCAACGGAATATGAGTTGAGCTTGAGAGCTGATGAATAGAGCCCGATGCTCCCGCATCAGTGTGTATATGTAAAAGAAAGATTACTAAATCTATTCATAGAAATTTATTTTCCTTCACCTCAATCCATGAATTCAACTTGCACACTAAAATAAATTTAATTTCCTTTATCTTTTTTTACTTCTTTCCCGTCTCTATATTGTCTTTTGTTTCCATAGCCGCATATAAATGAATCTGTATGATTGTATTTATTGTTATGTATTTTCAGATTTATATTAGCATTGTTAAATAAAATACATGTGGGCCGGTTAAGTGAACCATCTCTAGGTTCGAAACGATAGAGTGGATCTCGTGTTCAAATAATAGTTTTATCTCTAGGGTTAATACCACGAAAAAACCTAAATTAGTACATTTGTGACAAATTTACCCCAAACTAATTTTTTGACTACGAAAAATCCCAAACCAGTATACCTGTGATAAATTTATCCCAAACTGGTACATTTGTGAATACCATGAAAAATAAAAAACTGGTACACCCGTCAACTGTTACGTGTCATACAACTCAAAAATTTGATAGTAAAATTTAACGAAAACTAACTTGGGGTAAAATTGTCACAGATGTACCAATTTGAGATTTTTTGTGTTCAAAAAATTAGTTTTGGATAAATTTATTATAGGTGTACCAGTTTAGGGTTTTTCGTGGTATTAATCCTTATTTATATAGTGTAACCTTAAGGTTATGCCAATCACCCTTTGGGTAATATTTATTACCTCATACATGTGAATTGGGAGGTTTACATACATTCGAGCATATATCTTTTTTTATCTCACTCATCTCTTCTATGTACATGTGTATGCGGTACTTATAAAGATCGAATCCCGGACTTGGTACTCTCCAGTCCTAAAGCCCAATCGCTTTACCAACAAGATCGCATGTCTGTTCGCTCATATGAGCAAATTAAACAAATATATTTTAATCGCATATCGCTAAAAGTTTCCCAAAATCCATAACCATAAAAAAAAAAAAATCCCCTACCCATCACTTCCTTGTGTTTTTTTTTTTCCCCATTTCGCAATGACTGGCTTTTTCCATCCTTCACGTCATTCTCGTTTGAGAAAAAAACTTTGAAAGCGCTTATCTCAATCATATGATTGACAAATTCAATCCGCGTCGTGAGAATAGATGTTTTCTTTTTTCACTATTTC